CTGATCACCTTAGCCTCTGAAGACTTGATCTACTACAGCCTACGACCTACGACCTACGACCACGACCCCAGTGTACTGTTTTAACGTCAATCCCCAACTTCTGTTAGCAGACCCTACTGTCGGATAGCTGACCGTAACACCACCACGTCATAGGCCCTTCTGGTTGTTTGGGACCTAATTCATGAAGAAATATGGCATTGATGGTAAGCTTGTTGATCTTGCCTTAGTTGTAGGCTGCTTCGAGCCTTGCGGCTTAGCTTTCACGCGTGGCTGCACGTGGTCGAGGCACCTTAGGTTGAAATAGGGTGGTCGGCATCGTGCCGACCCCGATTCTTCCAGGATGATAGTGGCTTCAAGTGTTATGATTGAAAAATGGGTATGAAGTATTTTAACTTGAACGTGAAAGTTACAATATTGAACTCCAGAAACATACAAAGGAAAAGTGCTGGAAGCAAGAGCTATAGACAATACCCCGGCAGCGCACATCAAAACACGGGACTCGGCTCATTATGTCTGACAGAATCAAACCTGCGAAACCTCAACTTCCGCCTTGCCAAGCTTCGATGAACCATTATCAGACTCATCAACATCATGTCCAATCTTCCACTCGTCGACCAATCCTCGGAAGTCGACCGGCAAGTAAGGGGAGGTAAGCTCCTGGAAGCCGCTAGACTTGCGATGTGTTTCCAAACCAAGATCCTTCATCAGCATGTTGACATAAGGCAGACCCTCAAAGACGAAATCGGGAAGGCTGTTGCCATAGCCACATGCTCCAAAGCGCCACTTGCCCCACTGAGTGTGAAGCATGATCTCATCCGTAATCTCTTGCTCCGTAGTTGGCTCACGGTCCAGCTTGCCGCTCAGGTATGCCGCAATCCAGTGTCCCTGGATCGTCGCGCAAACAGAGGTGCTTACTGTGGAGATCATGCCGGCGAAGGCGAGGTTGCGCTTGGACATCATCGTGGACGGAACCATGAAGCGGTAGTAGCGCAAGGGGTTGGCCTCCTTGGGCTGAAAGCTGAGCTTTGGCTGTGCGGCGAGTCGGGGATACAAGGACAGGACCTTGGCATCAGCGTCCTGATCGAGCTCTCGCTTCTCGCTGGGGGTGACAGCGAGGCCGAACTTCTCCTCTCCGAGCCCGGCGAACTTGATGGTTGACTCCTTCTTCCAGCCCGTGGAGCAGATGATGGCTTCGGCATCCAGTTGTTCCCCAGATGCGAGGATAACGCGGTGAGGCTCCAATCGGTCAATGTTATCAATGTGAACCCGAATCTTGCCTTCTTTGACGAGATCAAAAAGACTGCTGTCGTAGTTGAGAATACTGAGACCACTGCCGATCCAGAAAGCAGAGTGCCATGGCTTGAGCTTTGCCAGCTCGGGGTGAGAGTCGTAGGCATTTGCTGAGAGAACATCACCGCTCAAGACCTTCCAGAATGAGTCCACGATGAATCGACCGACAGCAGTTCCGTGGAGGAAGTTTCTGACGCCGCCATAGCCATCCTCAAAGCCCCAAGGGCAAGGGCTGAACCAAGACATGCATCGAACGTTTAGAAGCTGGTCCAAACGCTTCTTGAGCGGTGTAACGAAAGGAGGCGCGATCCAAACGGGGCCATGGCCGTTGGGACGGACTATCAAGTCTACCGTGGTCCCATCCTGAACCAAGGCGTAAGCGACGTCGAACGCGGACTTGGCTCCGCCAACGACTACGGCGTTCTTGATGTCCTTCAGTTCTGGTGCCTTCTTGCAAAAGTCCTTGGCGTGGAAGAGAGGCCCTCCAAAATTCTCGGAGTTCTCGTATGAAGGGATATTAGGTGTTGAGGTCAAACCAGTGGCCAGGATCAACTTCTCAGTCTCGATCGTGCGGGCCCCGCCAGCAGAGGTCACGGACAACCGCCAGCCATCGTCTCCGAGGCGCTCAACCAAGTCCACGGAGGTATTGAATTGGATTCGATCGAAGAAGCCAAAGTGTTTGGCGAAGTCGGTAAGATAGCGATGGAGGATTGCGCCTGGGATATGGTTGTTTGGCTTCACACCGTAGACTTCTTCGGACATGGGAAAGTCGGGATATTCGTAGGTGCCGATCATGTTGTTGGACTTCAAGCCCGGGTACAGTCTGTTCTTCGACCATGTCCCACCGCAAGACTCGGCTGTTTCGAGGACGGCGAGGTTCGCAGTAGGGTTGAGTTGGCTGTAAGCCTTTGCGGCTGCCAGCCCGAACCAGCCTACCAGTGCATGTTAGCCATTGTCCGATTACTTTCTGATTACAAGTTCGAATGACTTACCGGCGCCAACAACAATGGCGTCATACGACTCCGTTTTGGTCGTCATAGTTGTAGGTTGACAAAGATTGTGGTTGGCTTATACCAAGGAAACGAAGTTGCTGCCAAAATGCTGATGTCTTCAGTCCTGGTGGTTGTGACAAGTAAGGAGAGTCATCTGAAAGCAGACTGGTGTGTGCGCGATGACGACTTGTTATTTCAAATCGTTGTTCCAACGTCCTCCAAAGGATGGCTGCATGGCAACATTGGATTCGGCAATGGAGCCAACACGGGGTTACACGCAAGTCAGACACCCTGTACCGCAATTTCCATAGAGCAGGCTCACAGTGACATCGACAGTGGCATCTTCCCACCCGGCACAGGAACGGTTGTTCCGAAAGCTGATCTATTCTTAAAACACCTTCCGGTTGGCTTATCGTAATGCCATCAACTCATTACAGGGATGCATCCGCGTTGAAGAGGGCAGGGGACTTCGTGGGGTAGACCAACGATGAGCTGAGTTTCGCTGCAAGTGTTCATCCTAAGAAACACATCGTACGGTAGATGACCATTCATTCGTGATGCTGAAGTCCCCTAATTGCATAGTATGGTGACTATGGGCTTGGGTGTGGTCGTGTGGGGAACGGACCTTATCACGGACCTTATCACGGAACTTCCGATCGGAACGGAACGGACCCCGGTCCTATGCGTCTCGCAGCCACTCCGGATGTAGCTGCGACGACTACCCATGGGAATTCAATAGGAGCTATGCTAAACACAAAAGTTTGCCCATGTATGCTCCTCGGAACATCCTTAATTCAGTTGGTAAAGGAGTCTTTGACACGTAGATAAGATAATTTGCATTTGCTTGATAGCTACTAGATAAGAGCAGCAGTTTGACAATTGTAATCAAGGCTCTATCATCAAATTGCCAACAAAGAAATCGAATAGATTCAAACATGTACGCAGACATCAGCAAACCTCCGGCACCGCTACCGCAAGCGCGGCCACAGCAGCTCCGTGAAGGCATCACCCTGCTGCCACCACTCACACGGCGAGGCCGTGGACCCGGCCTCATAATTCTGCAGCAAGACTCCTCCAAGCACCTGGACATCATCGAAGGCGTTCCATCGGCACTTGTAAAATGGGCCGAGGAAGGTTATGTGGTGGTCGGTATTCAAGCGCGGGCAATCTCCAATGGCGGCGATGTTCCAGAAGTCATGAGATACGCTTTGGAGGCGATACAGAGTTGCGACAAGTTGGAATCGCAGAGCCGTTTTGGAATCATTGGTGAGCTCCAACAATGGCCACCGCACCAGATGAAAAACTAAGTCGATTGGCTAATAGCATACGATTCAACGCTGTGGAATGCGGTTGCGGATGTCTTGGGCAACTTTCCCAGCATCGTCGGCGGTGTCGTGTACGCCAATTCATCAGATGAAGAAGACCTGAGAAAGGCTGTAATTCCTGTACAGCGTCATATGGCAGGGCAGCCTACATCTGTAACGGGCAAGGCGGCTGGTGTCACAACTTACAGATATGCGAAAGCGAAGTCCTTTCGCTTTGCAACACCATTCCAAGATGACTTCGACTATTGGGCAGAGTCGCTGTCGCATACAAGGAACTTGACGTTTCTCAAGCCACTCATTAACGGCCCATATTTCGACCTCGAAAGTATCTGGGACGAACACACATACTACGAATTTGCGGATCGCTCGGTTGAGCATACGATGAGTACCATGGTTGATCAACCTTATGTGAATCATGTGCCTACTGTAAGTAAATACGCCGCGCACGCTATGCAGGGACCCAAACAGTTGACCAAGGCACGCAGTTGACTGGCGGGATTGGACGCGCGCCCTTGACTCAGTTCTACCGGAACAACTTCATCTTCAGCAACTCGGATGACACGGAACTGGAACTCATTAGCCGAACAATTGGCATCGACCGCATTATTGACGAATTCATCTACAAGTTCACGCATAACAAAATCGTGGATTGGCTGTAAGTGATCATCTGTGACTGGGGTTTATCTAACGCGATGTGGGCGCTAAACAAAGCTTGTGTCTAGCGTCCCCGGAATTCCACCCACATTCAAGTATGTGGAGGTCCCATTCACAGCCGTGGTAAATATCCGCGGGGACCGGCTCTATCATGAACATATTTCATGGGATCAAGGAACTGTTCTCGTGCAGATGGACTTGATGCCTGAATACCTTCCCTTTCCTCATGCTGTCGAGGGCCAACCGCCTGGCACGGCCTTGGAGTACAGAGTGCCTGTGACGGGAGCTGAAACTGCCGCGAAGATGAGGGACCGGAATTCGGTAGCTTCAAATAGCATGTTCAGCTACCAGGTACGCAAAAGATAGAGGGAGGCATCGGGTAGTGCACCATTAGCTGAGGAGATACCCGGCCGACAATTGATTTAGCCCTTTCGGACAAGGGTCAAGCATGTTTCCCCCGCATTCTCAGCATGATAAGGCCCTCTATCAGGATAAGGAGAAACCTTCGTAGAAACCGCCTTGACCCTTATCTGCACCCCGGAAAGGGGTTCCCGGCAGCCGGTGCGGGTCTGGGGAATGGTCGCCGTCCAATGTTCGCCTTCGAAAAGATAACGCCCCATACCCAGCTACGTGTTTCTCGTCATTTTGCATGCGTGGTCATCTGCCCTGTCTTTGTGAACTTTCCAACGTCGATTTGTGCGACCTGCATACCGATGCAGCTGTGACTTCATACATTGCCAATCTTTCTTGTCCAACGTAGACCTTCAAGCAGCGCGCTCCTCCTATTGACGATACCGCCCGGACCCGGATAAGACCAGAACGAGGACACAATAAATGTCGCAGATAAGGGAGGCACGCGTGGCAAAGCGGCCAGGCAACTCGAACGGAGAGCCGGGCAAGCGACGAGCACCCTATGCTTTGCGGGCCTGCGATGCCTGTCGCCGGCGCAAGGGCAAATGCGATGGTCGTCAACCATGCAAATATTGCGCTGGTCGCGATCAGGCGTGCAGTTACGATAGCTTCCTTGGAACAGAGGAGTGGCCCCAAGCAATCGTCGAAATGATTCAACGCCAGGAGAAGCGAAACAGCTCCTCTCCTTCTTCATCATGGTTTGTCACAACTATCATATTCTCCATCGCTTGCGCTGACTGTAGCGGCACGTCTAGTAATAACCAAGACGCAATTATGGAGATCCTCTCCAGTCTTCAAGGCCAGCTGAACAGCCTAGCGTCTCGAGTTCAAACATCGAGCCAGAGCCCACCCGAACCCACCTTTGAGGCGACCGATTGCAATAACGAAGACTTCCTCTCAACTCTTATGAACGATGCGACCGCTATTGGGGACTACGTGGGCGCAATCGAGCAGAATTGGCAAAATCCGCCCCGGCCGATATACGGATTGCCTAGCCCAGATAATAGCCTCAATGCATCATCGCAATCGCAATCGCAAGCCGAACCACCGAGGGGCAGCTTTTCTGCGACGCAATCACGGCACCCACCACATCTAAACGTTACCTCAGATATCGAGTTCAATGAAGTGGTCTTTACCCAAGACAAAGCTGCTGCCGTCCAGACCCAAACACCAGCCTGCGATGCGTCAGCTCTTCTCAAGTTTCGAGAGCTGATGAGCCTGAAAGATGTCAGGAGACTATTAGGCGTATATCAGGAAGTGATCGGCGATCTCCACCCAATTGTCGACATTGATGAAGTCCAGACGCGCGCTCGTAATTGCTATACCGATGGAGACTCGACGACGTGGGAGTTCTTCACCGAACCCGTCGAGGTCGCTTCCGAAGACGACCTGTTGATTCTGAATCTGGCTTTGTTGATAGGACTCCATGCCGATGCGACACCGTCAAAACACGAAAGTGAATCTATTATCCGAGAGAGTATTCAGCCCGCTATCAGCAGCAAACTTGCCGCCCCGAGGTCTACCATGAATGGAGTTATAATAGTGTTGCTCAAGGTAATTAGACGATTGCAATTTCCCATATGGCATAATTTCTCACAAGTGGGCCAGGGCGCTTATGATTTCTTCAACGATACGCCGCAATCTGCATGGCGCATGTGTGGAACTGCAGGGCGCATGTTGATGGAACTCGGGTTCCACAACGGCGTCATGTCGGAAGACATGCTTGATTCACGGGCTCAACGTACAGAAGTATGGGCTCTTATGTCGAGCATCGTCATTCTCGACCGCCAATGGAGTGCTGCCGCAGGTCTCCCGAGAAATTTCCAGGAGAGCGCTTTCGGGCCCATCAACACTTCTTCTGTAAGGCCAACTGTGACAACATTTCGGAGTCGAAACGCAACCTTGCTGACATTTTCCCACTAGATTAAACTTCCATATCTCGAAGCCATGCTCACATTCATCAAGCTCAGCGACAAGTTCAGTGATCCTATTTCCCAAGCGACAAAGTCACAACGATACGACGACGAGGAAGCTTTCGAGGTCATGAACTTCCGAATCGAACAATGGCGGAAGAGGGCGGTTGCGGACCCCTCTATAATCCAACTCTGGCACAGCAACCCCCTAAGCCAGCCTCCGACATGGAAGATCCTCTTGAATCTCCGGGCCGAGTCTGTTCGAAGTCTCCTATTCAAACCACATTTCTTCTCAAAAGCCGACGTACAAACCAGCAAGCAGTACCTCCGACCCGCCATTGAAGTGTTATTCGACGTTTGCAACGTTCTTTACAATCTGAACACGACAACGGACATTTACCGCAAACAACAACCGTTCTATCAGCCTCTTCTCGCATCCGCATCCGGGCTGGGCTTCGTGCTTACATCATTCCTTGAACACAACAGGTCAGCTGTGTTGACTACTCTCTCTACGGAGGTTGCTGGAGCTATGGGCCGAAGCTACGAGATGGCTGTCGCCCTGGCAACTGGGTATGCGAAGATCTCAAGAGCATCCCAGGGGTTAGCTGAGAAGTTATCTGAAGTTCGAGAAAGTCTAACCGGCTTGGGGATGCTTGAGAGACCAAGAAATTGCCGGACAGGTTCGCAGGTGGCTCAGTTCAGCACGGATCATCCATCACGTCTTGGTGCCGATGTGGCTGTGGAGTCTGAAGTTGCAGGCACGTTGGCTGGGATTTCAAGTGTTAATAATACGGAATCCGGGTGGGATGGGTTGTTGGGGATTGATTGGACAACCGGCGGTGAGGCGAGCACAGTACTGTCAGAGAGTATATTCTAGTTCCAGTGACGAATGGTCATGATTGATACCCACTCATTTTCCAGATCCTCCGCTACTCCCTTTTGCTTTGACAACTGCTTGACTGCAAAAGATACTACAAGTAACAAATGAGAGGTACACATTGAGTTGCACGGCCTCATAAAGACTCTTGAGTGTAGACTAATAACCCAAGGTTGTAGTACAGACCCCGCTGCATTCAATGCATATGGATCCTTGACGATTGATTATAAACGCCTAGTCTATTTTAGGTCCACTTATATACAATTATGCAATCAGTTGTTGCATCTCGACAAGACTATGAAGGTCTAGTTGGTCTTGAAGTATCTGTCAAACCAAGTAATCGCCTGGTAAAAGGCCTGCTCCTTTGCAAACCGCTGCTTCTCATCCTTCACGTCACCACGAACAGAGAAACCATGGGAGACTCCAGAGAACAAATTAATTTGGTAGTCCTTTCCTGTCTTCGCCAGTATCGCTTCACTTTCGTGGCGCTTCTCTGCGGGGAATATGTCGTCGAACTCAGCCGCAGCAATGGACAACGGCCCAGTAATGGCAGCCAACTCATCTGAGTCCACAAATGAGGGGTGAGCAATGAAACCACACTGAATGCCGCTTTGGTAATGGCGCACAGCGTACTGAAGTCTTCTTTAGCAACCCGTGACTGACAACGGCAGTGCTGTAAGACTAGGAACTCACTTTTGCGCCGAAGCAGTACCCTGCTGCCCCAATCTTTTCAATGCCCATGCCTTTCAGATACTTGATTGCGGCCTGGACTATCGGGTCAATGGTCTCTGTCGTATGCGGATTCTGGCCGTCGGATCCTTCTTGCAGCCACTTCATGATATCGAAGTCCGCAGGCATGTTTAACGGACAGGGATCACGGTTGAAAGTGTCGAGAACAAGACAGACGTAGCCATGGCGTGCAAACTCATCAGCGATGAGCTTGCTGTTCTGCCATATGCCGATGATGTCCGGCAGATACAGTACTGCTCGCGCGGGCGTCTGCTGAGATGTTGGTATCGCTAGATACGCTTCGATGTTGCCGTCAATTTGGATCAGGCTACCCTCAGGGGTACCTCTGCGATATGTTAGATTCGATTTTAAGCTACAAAATATGGCCTCATGTGAGAATGCGTACTCGTGTAGTTTGCCGGCTGTGCAGCATGCAGCGGGCGCGTGGGATGCCATGATTGGTGACGATAACAGAGCCTTTCAGCAACTTCAATGCTGTAATGCGTCCATGATCAAATCAGAAACATTCCACGCGACTGATTATCTTATCTTGTTTACTCTCTTGGTGTTGCGGACCTGTCTCGGCCATCGTCGCATTGTGATGCGGGTCAGATCTGACAGCTTCGGAGCTTCCGTAGCCCCCCCGGCAGCGGGGCCGGGACCCACTTTCCGAAGGTCGGAACTAGTTCCTGAACCATAACCCCAAAAACCACGATAAGAAACAGAGCGCATTTGTGACGTCGAAAGGCATTCGGCTATGTCTCTCGTTTTCTTTTACCAGGAACACTCATCCAATACAGTATTCTATCACATCCAACCAGCATATCTCACGCCCCCGACAACCCCTAAGATGCCTCCTTCTGACCCCCTTGACGATGTGCGGCCGATGTTTGAGCTGCGCGGTCGCAATTACATCGTGACCGGTGGAGCGCAGGGCATTGGATTTGCTTGCACTCGCGCCATCTGTGAGATGGGCGGTAATGTCGCGGTGCTTGATATCCAGGAGAAGCCAGTTGAAGAGTTTGGCACTTTGACCGCAAAGTTCTCTACAAAGGCTATCTACATCCAGACCGACGTCACATCTCAGGAGAGTATCAAGGCTGCCTTTGATAAGGCGTTGAGTGAGTTTGGCACCATCGACGGGTGCGTGCCAGCTGCTGGTATCGCCATTGATAAGCCGTTCCTTGAGCAAACTTGGGATGAGTTCAATCGCATTCAAGAAATCAACGTTAGTCATTGCTTCCGTGTGAGAATCATCATCGCTAATGGTTCCAACAGGTTCGCGGAACTTTCTTCGTAGCTCAGCTCGTGGCAGCGCAAATGGTGAAGCAGGGCACTGGAGGTAGTATGGTCCTCCTGGCCTCTCAGTCTGCGCACATCGGTCTGCCTGGCTACCGTATGGCGGCATATAACGCCTCAAAGGGAGCGGTGTTCATGCTGTCTAAGGCGTTGGCTGTTGAGTTGGCACCCCACCAGATTCGCGTCAACACCATCTCCCCTGGGTTTGTCGACTCGGAAATGACGCGCAAGGTACGAGAGCTGAAAAGCAAGCGAGAAGGAGAGCAGATGTGGCTGGCGCCTCCAAACCAGCGTTTGAGCACGCAAAATGACTTGACGGGCGCTGTGATCTATCTTCTCAGTGATGCCGCGAGACACACCACAGCAACTGATATTGCTATCACTGGTGGCTTGCACGCGGGAACCATAGATGGGCTGATCAGCTACGAGACCAAGCAGTAATTTACCGCATTTTCAACCCAGATTTGAGCAAAAATTATAAAAGTAAAATATATCAATTGTACTTCCACATGACGATGTTGTATTCTGACCAATGTCTCGACGTTTCAGCCTCTTTGTTCGAGAAAAGTGATCATTTTTCAAGCTTGTTCCTTTGCTTTTGCTGCCGCAGCCCCTTCAGGGTCGTGAGCTACGACCTCAATTTCGACCTGCATGCCATCCGACCCCAATCTCGTAACCCCCACACAAGTCCAAAGCGCCTTATGGTTCGGCATCCATTTTTTGAAGTTCCTGACCATTGCCGCCTGTGCTTCGTCGGTGAGGTGAATGTGGTATGACCTCACGATGAAGACTTGCTCCCAGCCCTTCCCGCCAGCATCTCTCAAGACAAAGTCGACGTTTTCGAATGCTTGGTCAATGTGCTCGTCGATATCCCTAGAATGTTTGCCAGTGACTCTGTCGTGGCCACCTTTTGAAGTGAGTTAAAAGATGTCTCGCGGTTTCGTGGCAAACGAGGTTGGATTTAAGAGATGCAGAACGAAGCAAAAGTGAGCGAATTACCTTGACCAGAAATGAAGATTTGATTTTCCATGCGCACAGCTTGATTGTACGCATGTGACTTGAGGTTGTCTGACCCGAAGCCTTGGTACGTGTAGTAGGTCAAGTGAGACATCTTGATTGGCCGTGGCAGTTGATGATGTGCGACTGTACTTGTTTGCCTAGAATGATTTGCGAATATTTCATCAAGCGGACATTTGCTTATATTCTGGCTAGTCACTACTCGTAGTGTCTGACTGACGTAGCACTCTGGTAGTGACCACGGCGGAATTTATATTCCTCAGCATTCATGTTGCAGAGGTACCACTCAAAACAGTCCAGATTATTCGTCATCGTCTAAAAGCGACGTGTCTTGAGTTGACATGCTTAGATGGCCCGATGGTTGACGATTTGTTTCCTGCCCTGCTCAGATTTGGCAAGTTTTAGAATGGAAAGTTGCCAAATTAGGTTATGCGGAGACATTGGCGGCTTGTAGGCTTACCATTGGATCTTTCTATTGGGGCGATCCCGACCCTCCGACGCTTTCAATGCATACACCAGAGACCTTGGATATGCACGTGCGGAAAACATATCGCGAACCTCCACATGAACACTCGACTGTTATCAGATTTCAATCGTGAATTTGTGCTTGGAGCGCCGATACCGGGAGAGATGCCGGTCGGTGCCGAAAATACAGGGACCTGCCGTTGATAAGGCAGCGGGAGGAATATGTATTCCGCTTCGTCAATTGTCGCAATATTCTTGTAAGGGTACTCTCCAAACTATGGGATCTCCGGCAAAGGCCTTTCAATTATCGTTTAGACTCCTGGCACTCAGATGCTTAGGCAGCTCGAACATCAGAAACTAACATCGTTGCCTTTAGCTGATGGACAAGCAAGACCGCAACGATGACGATAGAATCTCATGGAGAGAACCTTCAGTTGTCAGAGAAAATGTCATCCAGTGGCATTTCGATAGCGTCTCGGCCTGAGCTGTTGGATGCCAGCCCGTTATCACAGTCTCCGTACACTTTGTGTGGCATCAGTATACCCTCAGTGCAGACAGCAATCGTTACGCCAGAGTTGGGCCCGAGCCTCAACCAAGAGGTCCAATTAATCCCCGTGCGACCCCCGGGGCCTGGCGAAGTTGTTGTCAAAATAGCTTGGACAGGCATTTGCGGCAGTGTAAGCGGTCTTATTGGGATCCAAGTGAGCGAATTGCTAAAGCAACACATTCACAGGATGTTCTGTTCTCACTCGGCCCTGGAGACGGCCTCCAGGGACCAAATCATATCGCTGGCCACGAAGGTATCGGGCACGTAGTCATGAGCTTCGATCGATCACTTCTAGGCAAACCAGTTGCGGCGAGATATCTGGCCTCCTACTGCCGATCTTGCTACTATTGTTCGCACGGCATCCCCGAATCCTGTCAGGCGCAGACAACCTTCCCTCGCCACCACAACGGCACTTTTCAGCAGTACCTAACAGCACCTTATACTTCACTCATGCCGCTGCCAAATTTCGTCTTCGATGAAGGGATGGGTATCAGTCCTTGGATGTACACCACCGCTCTATGTTCCGGGGCCGCGGCACTCAGGGCTTTGAAGTCTGCGAATCCTTCCCCGGGCGACGTGGTCATTGTTAGTGGGGTTTGCGGCGGGATTGGACATCTAGCCGGAATGATGGCCCGCAATGTTTTCAAAGCTAAAGTCATTGGTATCGATCTGGCATGGAAGGCTGAAGCGTTGGGCTCGAGAGCTGCCGACACCTTTGACGAATTCATTGCCGCCCCCGACCAGGCGACTGACTGGGACGAGTTCCGAAGGAGCATTTCCGACGCGTGCCAAAGACTACGTAATGCCAAAGAGGCTCGGCGGAACGCCGATTATCTGATTGTTACATCAGGTTGCGAAACGGCTTTCGAAGGACTGATCGATTACGTTTGCGATGGAGGCTCAGTCATATGCGTCGGGTAAGACACTACTCCCCAATATACATGTGAAGCTCTAACTGTCACCAGGGTACCGAAATCAAGAGGAAACTTGACCATACCCTTGGCGTTGATGGTGGAACGTTCGATTAGATTACAGGGTCTCCTGATGGGTGGATGGGATGAGAGTTATGAGGTTATGGAGTACATCAGAGAGGGCAAGCTACGGCCTCTTGTGGTAGAAACCTGCCTGGAGGAAGTTCCGTTTCGAATGAAGGCCTTTAAAGACCATCTTAATATCGGGAAGGTCGTTGTCAGGATGGACGATTCAATATGGCATGAACGTCTTATTTGATTTTGCCAAGGCGCAGCATCCTTCACCGCTGCGTATCGACGACTGTGCCGCCGTTTTGACCGGCAGGTCCACCAACAGCCGACGGTCAACCCACTCTGGAGGTGTGCTGCCTAGTAAAGGCGGGGCGAGACGTTCGGTACGGATACGTAGCCCTCGTGAATGGCCTCTTCTGCCCGTCAAACATGTTTTTTTCTTTTCTTATAAAACCCCTCTTGAAAACCTCAAGAAGCGAACTAAAACATTAATCTAAACTGCCCATCACTCAGAAACCATTCACACGATGTGCCAGTTCTGTCCTCGACCCGGGGACTATGGCTATCCTTTGGAGACACAGGATCCGCAGTATTCTCTTTATGTCAATGAAGAAGAAGGAATCTACGACCATTCTGAGGGTGTGGAAGCGGGATACTGCCGTAACCCATCCTGGCCATCAAAAACTGTCGTTCACCCTGCACCCAGCTACGACGGTGCCCCAACCTTCGTTGCGTACTCAGTCTTCGCAGACACCCCAGAACACTCGGAAACCGCACTCCGACCTCTGCGCCCTCCGTTGGGCATCGCCGTTTACGACACGACACAGAACGCTCATCCTGCCCGCAGCGCTCGCCTAGCACGCGCTGTCTTTGATCGTACCTCTCAGTACCGCCAACGTCGAACTCGATATTGAAACATCCACGACTGTCGGACAATACTTGCCCCCGTTGGACCGGTCCTCAATCGGAGATAGCAGATGTGACCACTCGTCATCGCCTCACTTGATTTAGTTCGATAGCTGTGCTATACCACATGAAGTTCTTGGGCCGTCCCTCATTGCCAAATATTACGCATGTATACTTTCAAATAGGTACGTACCCGGAGATGTGTATCGACCTGAATCGCACGCATTGTAACCAGGGCGGAACATAAATTCCGCACACGTTCAGAGGGGGAAACTGGAAGATTGTGCCGAGGTATTAGCCTTATCTGGAGTCAGACTGGGAATGATAAGAAATCCGGGGTAAAGTCGGGAGTGGGCCACTCTCAAACCATATCACTCTGTAGTCTGATAAGAACAAATGGGATGTATAAGAGATTGTAATCGTACCCGACACTTCATCCTGGTGTTCTAGATAACCCGAGTTTTCTCAGTGTTGCAATACTCTTCTCTCCGTTTCAAAAGATCAGTAGACACTGTAACACAAACAACAATGACATCAGCAAACATGAAGCAAGACAAAGCAGATCTTGTGGACGATGTAGTCGAACATGGCAACATCAGCGAAGATTTTCAAGAGCAATTGTCATGGAGTCGACAGCTGACCGAGCTCAAGCAGTCTTACCGTAGTGCACTCGCCTGTTTCGCTTGTGCGTCCGTCGCCATCGTTATTGGTTACGACATGAACCTCATTGGGTCAATCAGTGCGGATAAGGAGTTTGTGAAACAGTTTGGAGTCTTCAATGAGGAACACCAAGCCTGGACACTTCCGGCAGACCGACAGTTGGCATGGACTATCTGCCAGTTCTGTTCTGCCATTCTGGGCGCTGTGATCGTGGGGACAGCCAGCGATCGCTTCGGCCGTCGCATTTGCGTCTTCATCAACATTGCGTAAGTATCTACCAGCTCTCTGCACACGTTTAAATTCTAATGGTGGATGACTCCAGGCTACTGATCATCGGTACGGTCGTCGAGCTTGTGGCTCCCAACTGGGGTGTTTGGTCCGTTGCGAAGGTTATCTTCGGATTTGCCATGGGATTCATGCAGGGAAACACGCAAACATACGTGGCTGAGATTGCTCATGTTCGGATTCGTGGTTTCATGCTGGCTCTATTCCAGTTCTGGCTCATAATTGGGGTGTTTCTATCCTCGTGTGTTCTGGAGGGCACGTCCAGAATCTCTGGCACCTGGTCATGGAAAGCAGCTGTTGTCTCCCAGTTTGGAATTGGCTTGATCAGCTTGTCGCTTTTCACATTCCTAACGCCGGAGTCACCCTACTATCTCGCAGGAAAGGGTGAGACCGAAAAGGTCAAAAGGGTTCTCTGTAGCCTTCGTGGCAAGGAGCCTGGGTACATTGTTGAAGCCGATGTTGATCTCATCATGCGAACCATCGAGCACGAGAAGTCAACAAGCGGAGCAGAGGTGTCTTTTATGGACTGCTTCAGAGGGGTGGACTTGGGGCGAACCCTGCTTGCCTGTTTACCCATGGTCATGCAACAATTTTCAGGTCGGTCCCCCTTTCCTCTCCAGTAGATAGACTCTCTTACTGACTTGTTCAAATCAGGTTGGCCTCTCTGCGGCAACTACCTTACATACTTCTTGGCACTAGCTGGCCTGGAGGACGCCTTCCTTGTCACAGTGATTGCGAACGTTCTTTCAATTTTCGCTGTCCTTCTTTCTTTCTCTCCAGTAGAGAATATTGGGCGACGTCCACAATTACTGCTGGGTCTTTCGGGTATGATTCCCTGCTTGCTGGCCATCACCATTCTAGGCTGGGTCGGTCGCGGTACCCTAGCCAATGGGCGGGCGCTGGCGGCCTTTTCTATCATTTGGACCATTCTGTACTACATTTCCTTGGGAGCTATCGGGTGGACGCTTGTTGGTGAGATCTCGTCTGTTCGGTTGAGAGCCAAGACCACATCGATTGCAACCATTACGAATGCGGTGTGCAACCTGGCATGGGCGGTGGCCATTTCTTATCTCATCAATGAGGAAGAGGCCGATCTCGGCCCCAAGGCGGGAGTTGTGTTCTTGGGCCCTGCTTGTGCTCTAACCGTCATGGCCTTTTTTGTTGTTCCGGAGACTAAAGGCAAGACTTTTGCTCAACTCGATCGTTTGTTTGAGCTTCGTACTCCGGCACGCAAGTTCTGACCGGGCTAAGAATGGCCGCCTGACGCATACACCATGCCATTGAGGGCTTGGGTTCCATAGATCTTGTAGCTCTGAGAAAATCAAGTTTGTTGGATTGGAAAACACAAATGGATGGCATGAGAAGTTAACATCCTGATTGTGATCCAGACCTCTTCTGTGTCGGGCATCCATTAAGACTCTGCGCATGTCCAGGTTAGTGGGACGATGGCAATGGCAAAACCTTCAATTGCGGCTTCAGATTGCGTGTTGGCAAAGGTCACCCATCCTCAAATATCGCTGATGAATTCGCTACCGAAATAAGGTCCAAATGTCTTCCCAAGAGACTCGTGTTGATAAATCTACCTTGCGAACCTGCTCCTTTTTCTCAGTTCACCGCCCCAGTTGTAAAGGACCACCATGCCCACAACACCCAAAATGCAGAGGCCGCCCAACAAAGTCGAGCCTCCCGCAACGCCAAGTCTATCATACAAGGGCGTAGACCAAAGCAATGCACCCGTCGGAATCAGGCACCGAACGAAGCCATTTCCCGCAAAAGCTGAAGCGGCATAGTCTGGATACCCGAGTGAGATGTAGACAAATATGCACTGCAGAATGATTACTAAACCAGCGGCTGTCAATGCAACACCAATTGTAGGTGCCATCCAGTGAATATCCTCTCTCGATGTCCAAGCAAAAAATGAACATGCCGAGAGGTACGAGTAGAGATGCGAGAACCGCAGGTATCAGTCTCTTCTCTGGCTCTATCTGGCCTCCATCTATGACGGCTGGTGTTACCCAGTAGTGCGTATAGAAGCAGTACGGAATGCCAATAGTCACGACGGCGATGACAATGGACAGATAAACCAGCCCAGTCTGTCCCATGCTGAAACCGTAGAGCCCTTCGTACACAGTGGGCAAGATTTCGAAGAACGAGTAGTATATGCCATATACACAACCAGCATAGACACTTGTAAACATGATGGATGGATCGAGAAGATGCATCTGCCACGGCACCACAAGAGAGCGGAATAGAAGATCTCGGGTGGACTTGGTAGGTTTCGTCTCCATAAGTCGGTAGTCGCGACTGGGGTCGATTCTACTGAGCCTCTGTGCGCGGGCATACAGTATGTTCGATGCTGAGGTCTCGGGAAGACACAACTGAAGAAAGGTTGTTGATCAGTACCAAGCCGCAGACAGAGATCATGTGAAATTTACTAATAAGAAGATGACAGGCGCATTGGCTAGAACGAGCTCCCAGAGTGCCCATCGCCAGCCCATTACTGGCACCGCAAAACCGGATATTACTGGTGCCAAAGATGCCGCTGCAAAACCAGAACAGGCCCAAGTGTAAAGTGACAGTGGACGCATGTTCTCTGAGCTGATGTCTGATAGAGATGCATCTCCCGATGTCAGCATCGGAGCCCCAAAGAACCCCTGAAGAAACCGGAGTACCATCAATCCCTCGACATTGCCCACCGAAGCAGCCAAAACAGAGATAACAAGGTATACTGCAGTTGCAACAAGGTATGGAGGATTCCGTCCAATTCTCGCGACATCGGCCAGGGGTGAGAAAATCAGCGGACCGAATCCGTAGCCGAGAACGAAGAGGGCGAGTCCGAGACTCGCAATCGTATGACACACGTGAAACTCAGCCATAACGCCCTCTTGAGAAGCCGCGAATATTGAAGATGACACATATACTGCGGCATTGGCGTAGTTGATGACAAAATATTGTGAGGATTTGCGTTGTCATCCGGTCCATACCAGCCTACAAGAATCGCATCATCTCGAGAATGTTCGCGGTATGTCGTGATAGGTTCGTCAAAGCTCGGTATTTGATAGTCATCATCATCTTCTGGAAACTTGAGCCAAGAACCTTTTGTAACGCATCTCGTAATGTAACCAGTCGGTGTGTCGACGAAAAAGTCCCGGCTGTGAGAAGACATTGCTGGGAGGGTTGAGGGGAGCTCGAGCTTGGCTCGTTGTTGCATCCAGACTCTAGCGCACATGAAATGCGCATGTATATAAGTGATGTTCTTCACTTTCATGTCTTTATCGGGCACGGCCAGTCGAGTTGGCGAGAAGCCGCCCATCAAAACTCCGATCCCGGTCGGTGCAAGACAGTAGTAGGGCGGAATATGCATACCGCCACATAGGGTTTGTAATCTTGAGGACATATCTGATGGCGTAATATAATGTGTCGGCATGGGTTTGGCCATCCCCGGAAAATAATGTCCTCCACGACCTCCCCCTTGGTTAATGCGCACTGAGTAAGTGACGCTCGAGACAGACAGACACAGAACGTGAACTAATTGTAGGAATCGGTACGGCAAATGTAATAGTAGAAGATTTCATTCTGCATTTCAAACTCTTAACGAATCATCATTGTATTTGCTGTTGTCTGTATAAGCTAAAAAGAAGAGCCAAAAGAAAACAAAAACCCATCTCATTTGACATGTCGAAAAAGTCCGGTCTTTCCCGCCATCAGGCTTCGCGCCGTCACATCTTGTGAACCCATGAAATCTCATTATCCACTGTGACTTCCCCAACTGGAATCAAGTCAGCTGCGTTGGGTCCGACAAAAATCTTGAAGGTTGATCCAGCGTCGATGGCCCATCTCTTCGATTCAGGGTCAAAAGCTCCGAACTCATACAGGTCAATCGGAACCTTGACAAAGCAGGACTCCCCTGTTCCAATTTCGGGTGTTTTTTCGAAGCCGCAAAGTTGTTTCTTCGGTCGACTCAATCTCTTGTTAGATGTAGCAGAAAAGAACGCGAGGACAGTATGGCGCCCTGGTAACTCATTTCCGCCAAGATTGGTCACTCGACAAAGGACCTTGGCCGCATCTCCCAACTTCAGTGTTTGGTCTGAAAGCTTCGCTTCAGAGATTTCGAAGACGCTATACGAAAGACCAAAGCCGAGTGGAAAGAGCGGCGATATGCCGAGAAAGTCCCACCAGCGGTGTCCGGCATGAATTCCCTCGGCGTAGAGACATGAAGTATCAGCTCCGGGCTCTTGTGGTGCGGCCACTCCAGGAGCGTGCTCAATGCTGCGAGGAAACGTGACCGGAAGTCTGCCAGAAGGATTGGAGTCACCACAGATGACATCTGCTGCCGCATTCCCCAGCTCTTGTCCTTGGTACCAAGTGTAGAGCACAGAATCAACTTTGTGGATCCAAGGCTCCATCTTGACCGGCGTTCCCGCCTGAATTACAACGATCGTGCGTGGACAGACGCGAGAAACCTCTTCTATGAGCTTGGTCTGATCGCCTGGGAGCTCCCAATGCGGGATCTCCTGGCCCTCGGTCTCCCATTCTTTGTCCCTTCCAACTACTACAACCGCTGCGTCGCATCCATTGCAGACATCGGCTGCCTCTGTTGGGAGATCAGTTTCATCATGCTCCTCGTAGCCGAGACGAACTCCTTGAAATTTGTCTTTCATGGGTCTCATCCGAGGGATGAGGTCGGCGTGAAGTTGTCTGTCGTGAGAGTGGCCTTCTATGCGAACAGAATACTCGCGACCAGCAACAAGCTCTTTGCTAAAGACCGTCTCATTTGATCCATAGGTAAAAAAGAGCGTGACGCTCTCGTTGAAGTCCCCCGCTTCGGTGGCGACCTCCTCATCATTGCTGAAGAATGCTGCCTTTCCGATACTCGCAAGAGAAAGACGGTGAATGCCGCTGGTCTTCGGGATGAGAATCGTTCTGACGCGATAGCAAAAATTGGTCTCCGCAGTGGTTTCTGGAGGACTGTCGCCAAAAGAAATGTAGTAGAGATCATCACTGAGAGAAACCGTTAGTCCGCAGTTCTTAGGCTAAGTCCCGCAGGCACTTACATGTGAGTTGTTGCCACTGGCTTCGAAGTATGATCATGACCAACGAACCAGTCCACAGCCCCTCCTCCTTGGTTGGTGTCTGGATCCCGACAAATATGAGACGATGCCGTTGGAAGGTACCTGTTGACTTTGGCACCGATAGCGTGTACAATGGTCGTCTTTTCGTTATCGAATTTTGCAGACAGAGAATCGAATACTGACGTCCAGTAGGGTGCCTTGATGTAAGCACTTCCGCCGCCGCCCGCCACAACTCTCTTCGCATTCGGGCACACAATGGCAATCTTTCTGATATTCTCTGAAGGTCGGAGCGGCAGAGATTGATTCTCATTCTTCAACATGACGATTCCAGATCTAGCAGCATGTCTGAGCTTTAGCGATTGTTCAGGCGTATTCAAACAAATCTCTTGATGGTCGGCAGGATCTTCGAACCTGCCAGCCTTTTCTAGAAGCCGCAACAAACGTCTGACTGAGTCGTCGATAGTATTCATGCTCACTTCTCCATTCGACAGGAGAGCCATGACAGCGTTTTGGGTACGCTTAGCAGGGGGCCCCGGCATCTCCAAGTCAAGCCCGGCGTTAATGGACGGCCCAATCGAATTGGTTCCACCCCAGTCACTCATGAATACACCTTCCCAACCCCACTCGCGATGGGCAATCTCAGTGAGTATTTCGTATGATGAATCGCAGTGGTGGCCATTCAGTTTGTTGTAGGCCGACATCATGCACCATGGGTCTGCATCCCGCACGACCATCTGGAAAGGTTTGAGGTAGACTTCACGTAGAGCCCGCGTTGGGATGATGCGGTTGCCGTGAAACCGGTCGATCTCTTGATCGTTACCTGAATCGAGTTGTTAGTTAGGCTTTCAGCAGAGTGTGGGCCTTACTTACCAACAAAATGCTTTGGAGTAGCCCCGATACCTCTCGACTGCAAACCATTCACAAGAGCGGTGCCCAGTCTTCCAGTCAAGAATGGATCTTCGCTGTAGGCTTCGAAGTTTCGGCCTCCTAAGGGATTGCGATGTAAACATATCGTGGGACTGAGCAAGACGGAGGCAGACTTCGACTTGGTCTGTGGAAGGCAATAGTTAGCTTGATAATCTGCATAATTAGAAGGAACAAATTCACACCTCTTCTGCGAGAAGCTCGCCCATTTGCCTGAGAAGCTCCACATCCCAAGTTGCGCCCAG